CTGTTAAAACACGACTCTTTTGTTACTGACGTACTGGTCAAAACGCTTCAGCAACGCTTTGAACTTTATTTCGGTCGTTAGTTCTTGCTATGTACTCTTGATTTCAAAGGTAAATCCTTGAATTAGAAATTATATCTCAGAGATGGTTGGAAACTTATCAGGGAATATGTAAATTTGGCAATAGTGGAAAGTACCTCGAAACAATAATAGACGATTGAAAATCCTCGGTTCATTTTTTTAGAAAATGGACAAAATCCAGTAGTATTCCCACGGAACAACAGTAACGTGCAAAGTACCCATTTCAGACTATGACCTCTAACTACACTCTCATCAGAAAAAAAATCATTACACTTACAGTGCACCCAGGCCGGTAGCCAGACGCGATTGTTCTGAGGGGCAAGTAATGCAATTGGTGGGTTGTCAGATATTTTTGTAGCTATGGGCCTGAGTGCACCTTAATTAACATAAAATGTTATAAAGCTAAACTACACTATACCTTAAATCGGAATTTTTAAGCTCGACTTGAAGGGTATTGAGCTGTATAATATGTACAACTGATATTGAATAGTGGTATATGATAGCGATTGATCACTGTCTTAAAACACTGTATATTGATTTATCATATTTCACACTAAACAACAATCTAAAAGGTAAATGGCTGTAGAATAGTTTAGCTTCTTTTTTATGTAGATTATTTTGTGCGTCAGTGCACCTATCAATTCAAACAATGAGTTTTAAGTGAAAAGTTGATAAAAAAAAAATATGAAAAAGGTTGACACATCACTTGACGTTTTCATTATGAATTGATATATGCCTTTGAGTGTAATGGAACAAGATACACGAGTGAAAGTGAAAATATTTGCAAGAAATCATCAATGTGAGTTCAGAAAAGTGATTCCTATCAAATTTATGATGGCTTAAAATAGAAGAAATCAACTGTAAATTTGGATGTTTTCCGTCAACTGAGGTGTTTATTGCATCATCATCATTATAGTTGATGTAAAAAATATATGTTATCGAGGACACAACAAAAATGGAAAAATTTGAATTCAATATACACTTCCTTGAGAATGTTCTTTAAACAATCTATTACATTGCGTTGGTGTTTATTTGATTTTCATATTTACATGTAAAGACTGTTATCCATAGTGTCATCAACTTATAACGTTGTTACGATTGGAATCGAAGGTCCACCCTGTCGTATACCGCGTTCACGTGTTTGTGACCATACGTTCGAGTAAACATGCATTGCATATTCTACTCATACTACCGACTATTTTAGTCCACTTTTAACCTAAGTGCGAAAAATTTCTTACCAAATATAGAACTTGACATTTTTCTTGGTTGCCTTATCCGAAAATAGTTTGACGAAGTTTTTTTCCGCTGACATATGAATGTATAGTGTTATGCACTGAATGTTATTTTATTGTTGACGATCTACAATATTGTGAAAGATGGATTTATGAACTCAAAACGGACTTGGATCAATCCTTACCTTGTGGATTATATACTATACCCAACATTGACTTTTGTATGGTATCGCCATTTTCTGTTTTATACGGATGCATCTTTGAATGTTACAAACCTAGTGATTTTGGTAATATGTAACTTGATATTCCTCTGAACGAAATTTCATAAACAACTCCCATACGAAAAATCCAATGTTGTGCTGTAGTTTATAATAAAGTGAAAATCAAGTGCAGAGTGCTGCCATGTGATTCCTGGGCATCTCTATCAGACTACGTAGTTCTGTTTTTATTAAAATTGATGGTGAAGTTGACTTCAGGAGGATATTAATCTTTAACTTTGACACAATGGAATGTTGAAGCTCCAGTTAAGGTGATAAGACTGTATTGGATATACAAGTGTCTATTTTTTAAATGTCAAAACATAGAGGTAATTAGTTTTCTATACTCAGTCGCATAAAATATATCACTTTCGTTAATCTGGGGGACGGCATTATATAATCCATTTAAGCCATTCTTTTTAAACTGATAATTTACTTATCTACAGTCTAAGTAAAACTAACATGGTTTATTTTAATACATAATTAAATTGTCCTTCTCATTACGTTTAACATTTCTGAGTGAAATTTGGTCAAGATATCAGAATTAACTCTACGTTTCAACCTTCAAACATAAGAGATCTCTGGTATTAACCATGCTCGAAACCTTGACTTTGCCTTCACTTCCTTCCAAACGCAGTATCACCAATTTTTAAAGGGATACAAAGTTGAAATATCCTACTATCTCAGTATAAATTCTGTTATTTTATTTTGCTCCTAATACTGGTATTTAAGCTTTATCTTCTGGTAGAAATATTATGTTTGAGTGCAGCTCATTCATAGTGACATCAGTGTATAATGGTGATTAAAATTACGGTGAATTTGAAATCGCATGCCAATTCTAGTAATTTTAAATGGTCACTGGCGAGATCATCAGTGCAAGGTAAATTGAGGCATTGATTAATCGGATTGAAAGTAAGAGGATCTTGATATGATTCAATAATGGACGCAACGTTGCCCGCCCATGTTGAAAGGAGACGTCGACGTAGGTCACGGTCGATAAAGTCATAATTTAATGTAGAAGATGGAATTGGGGTCCAATTGTACTACTTGATCAACTGAAATGCATTTGATTGACAGTGAAATTCTCAACATAATTGAGGTGATCGCCCTAACAAGATAGGCGGGTCTTCTAGAGTAACTCTTGTTTGTAAAAATAAGACCCATTAAACGTTGAATGTCAAGTACTCCATGTTACGCATTGTTACAATACTAGTTATGAACTTGTACAATTCAATTCGTCTTTTCAAAACCTTATTGAAGTTATCGTCGCGTACATTATTAGCGTACCCTTTAGTGCATATCCATTTGAAGTGATCACTCGGAACATTTACCCCTCTAAGATTTTGATGATAAAATTACTCGGTGATATGTTTTGATTTGTATAATCATATTCAATGACTGTAATCGAATATTCCACGCTAGGTTGAATTTATCGTGTATCATTCAACTTATGTAAGAATTGACGTGTACATACATAACGTGGTATGTCATTGTAATAGTTATACAATATGATATAGATATTGGAAGCTGTATTTTGTCAAAGCGAAATTTAATACGATTGATCTTTCTTCTATTTTTTAACTAATATAAACAGAACTGGCCCTGCCTTAAAGTCTATGCCCTACAATCTTGAGACTTAACACTAGCGCTTAACTACGTTGTGAACCCAAAGTTCTAGTATATGTTACAGATTCATCCTAGAACTTAAATATCCAAGCATTTCTGTTACCATTGCATTGCCATCTTGGTATTGTATTCGAACGCGTAGTAATACCGATGTTTAGTGTCATTCCAAGTCTATACGAAGCCTACACTATGTAATATTATGGTTTATGAGAATCTTTGCTTTACACGACCCTAATAATTCATGTACTGGATCAGTTTTAAACCAATGACCCGTGTTCATGAATATGCATTTTCATATGAAGACAGTCAAATTAAATCATATCAAGGTGACCTTCCAACTTGTTTAGATTTCCTTTGCAGATGGTTTAGGAGAATCTTCAGATTTAACATAAGTATGGGTCATGATAATTGATGTACTAGAGCAGTACTAAACCAATGACCCATGTTCATGAATAAATGCATTTTCAATGCATGTCATATCAATGTGACCTTCGAACCTTCGTCAGGAAATACTTATTGATTGTGTGTGGTCTCTGTATGGTATCCTCAAGTCGGTTTTAACATTGATGCAGGTCGGATTGTAGGTAAATTTCCAGTCATACGGTATGAGCAATAACTCGAGTCTCATGTTACAGGCTTGTTTACGCTATAGTTCCTTCAACAACTGGACGGATGTCACTGTCGCTTCAATAACCCCTCCCTCTCCTTCTACCATCACCAATACTCCAAAATGTTAGCGTTGTATGTATTTGTTAACCCAAAAGGGAACCATAATGTTCTTTAATTGTACCCTGAATGCAATCTGTTGTTGCGATATCGACAAGTTCTCATCCGATCATCCAATTGGGTACTGGATGTTTAGTGTCTTTACATCATCCGACATAACTACACATGACTTTGCGGAAAGACGAACGACAAGATTATAGTGCGAATTTTTTTTTGGTGTCTACTAATTAGATTATGTGCACTTTAAAACACGGTCTATCCAGACGTCATTTTTTTACAATTTAGCGGTATGCACTGATTTTAAAAAGGTTTTAAAACCTACTGACCTTTCACTTACAGAAGACATCCGTTTGAATAAGGAGGATTTTTAAATGTCGCCAAGTGTAAGTCCGTCTCTATGCTAAAGGGGACGATAGCTGTTGGTGGGGTCGCTAGATTAACAGCATGTCGCAATTCATAAGCACCTGTGACATTTCAGGAATGTTGTAGTCAGACAAAATTACGATTAGTTTTCATCTAATGTAAGTTTCTTATAAATACGTCTTGTTTAGTACAGATAAATTTATATTTGAAAGCCACACGTAAGGTTGTTGGTTATGTCTTAAACTTGGTATGTCCTTCTTTAGGGGTTTCGTGTTCATGTCTTATTTCTCATTAGTAAGGTTTTCTGTATATGTTTTTGGCATGGCCTTATTTTATGGCAGACGTCTACTGCATGATTATGAAATGCTACAGAATCCTCAAACCCTTCAGTACAATATTCTACGTAATGGCTGATGGTTTATGGCATCAATACGGGTATCAGACAGCTCGATTGAAGCAGTATATCAATCTTGAGTCTGTAAAAGCAAATATAATCAAATTTTAAGCCTAGCATTGCTGATGGCTTTAATTTGATCTCTTGCATAAAATGAAAATAGAAGTTCAAAATGTGGCCTATTGTGCTAGACAATTTGTAATTTGACTCAAAAAGTCTGCTCAAAATCAGTTTTAATCAAATTCAATATGCTTTTAAGCTGAAAGGTAGCAAGATAATTTGACTCATAAAGTCAAGTTGTTGAATACATATCAAAACTTGCGAGTAAGAAACATTTCACAACGTCCAAGTGAGAAACATTTCAGAAAAATTAACAAAGTCTTAGTAAGAAACACTTCACAACATCCTAATGAGAAACATTTCAGAAATATTCACAAAGTCCTAGTAAGAAACACTTCACAACGTCCTAGTGTGAAACATTTCAGAAACATTCACAAAGTCCTAGTAAGAAACACTTCACAACGTCCTAGTGAGAAACATTTCAGCAACATTCACAAAGTCCTAGTAAGAAACACTTCACAACGTCCTAGTGAGAAACATTTCAGAAATATTCACAAAGTCCTAGTAAGAAACACTTCACAACGTCCAAGTGAGAAACATTTCAGAAATATTCACAAAGTCCTAGTAAGAAACACTTCACAACGTCCTAGTGTGAAACATGTTAGAAACATTCAGAAAGTCCTAGTGAGAAACATTTCAGAAATATTCTCAAAGTCCTAGTAAGAAACACTTCACAATGTCCTAGTGAAAAACATTTCAGAAACATTCACCAAGTCCTAGTAAGAAACATTTCACAACGTCCAAGTGAGAAACATTTCAGAAACATTCACAAAGTCCTAGTAAGAAACACATCACAACGTCCTAGTGAGAAACATTTCACAACTTCCAAGTGAGAAACATTTCAGAAATATTCTTAAAGTCCTAGTAAGAAACTCTTCACAACGTCACCACGTCCTATTAAGAAACATTCCACAAATTCACAACGTCCTAGTGAGAAACATTTCACAGCATCTTAGTGAGAAACATTTCACCATGTTCTAGTTAGAAACATTTTTAAACGTCCTAGTAAGATACATTCCAAAAATTCACAACTTCCTAGTTAATGAGATTTCACAACGTCCTATATAATAAAAAGAATATAACACAATGTAAAAAGCAACTTTTTATGTACTTTTAAAATGTATTTTTTTTATCTGAACACCTGGCCCACCTAGATGAGCGACAAAAAAGTCAAGAGATTTGGTTTACAAATTACAAATACATTAACGGTGCTGATAAAAATGTTATTTTATGAGAAGAATAGGGTGCTTTCAGAACGCCCAAATATTATGGGTATATAGATTATTTCAAATTGTATCATATCAGAGGCATCTATAACTAGGATGCGATATTATCTTTATTAATGACAAACGTGTTTCATTGAAGAAAATGAATCAAAGCGATGGCATGCTTAGAAAGTAGAAAGGCATACCAGAATATTAATGAGTCGGATCATTATTTTGGATGAGTTTTTTGTGCGTTTTGACCTAGATGTTTGAATTTATCTCGGCAAGCTAATAATAGAATCTAATCCTCGGTTTTGTTACCTCTTGAACCAAATTATCTTGCTACCTGTTGAGTCAGCTTAAAACCATATTGAATTTGATTGAGCAGACTCTTTTTCTTTAAAAAAAAAACATTTTAATCATTCCAAAGTTTGATTAATAATTTCTTAATAAAATGCGGTTTACATCAATCATCCTTTGAAAATTTATATAAGTCAGTATAATTATAAACATACAATTACGTGAGTCGAAGTTTCAGATAGATCACCTTCAGATTTAGAGTACAACTTTCAAACTGTGTTGCGACTTCAAATAGTTTCAAAACAATTCATGGAATGCCATTTCTCTTCTGATTACTACCATTTTTTTCAGTATTTCTCACCTTCTTGCAATTATATTGTTGTTAAAAACATTGAAATATCACATTGCGTCATTACCGCGTAATTTGAAGTGTATTTTAATCATGATAGCTATTATCTTCCCAGGGGTCGCCACTTTATTTATGAAATGAGTTGCTTTACGCCAGTGGTACATGTATTCCACAAATACATACACAATGCATAAAATAAGCACTTGTGAGAAGGTGAAACGCAAAGTAAGGTGATTTGACAACTCTTTGGGCTTTGCTATCCTGCTATTCCTTGTTAAATCCAGAAACGGGTTTTACATGACACAATTTGATTGGTTAGGAATACTATCATTAGGACAGGCCTTAAGTAGAAAATCGTCTTAGATTACAATGGAGACTAAAAATATCAGGAAACAAAACAAATGTCTAATTTTAAATAGACACGAAACGATACATAATCATGATTTTTTAAGCTTAGACAAGTAATATAATGATGATAAGACATCAAAATACAGGTATCAAAATACCAATCAAATTATATCGGCGGTCAAGACCTTTAGGGTGATATACACAGAAAAAACGGATAACAATTCCTTAATGATATAGAGTTAGCATCCTACTTTTCTTCTCGGGGTATCTTACTTTCTCTGAATAACGCAATTCTATGTCCTATGATGGAAACTGTAGCAGGACATCGACAGAGGTGTATTATAAATTCAAAACGTACGATGTTAGCATGCCCGTCTACGGCGCACAAGTTCTCCGCTTATTGTCTAATAGTAACGTGTAAATACGTTATAGTAACGTCATAGTATGGTACTGCCAGGATTTGTAGTGAAAAGCATAACTATTTCACCAAATGCCTTGTTTCTTATGTAATGGATATTGAAAAATATATTTATATAAGCGAGGACGTTTCAATTTTGGTGCTGATGTTTTTCCAGCACTCCCGTAAGAAATAATTACTGTAAGATTTTACTACAACATTCTTTGTAGTAGTCATGATTACTAGGCGATTTATTAAGCCTTGTGTGATCTACTTATTTACAGATTTATTATGGAAATACATTTAATATCGATCAGGTTTCTTACATTCTGACCTAAATTTCATTTTCTTAAAGGTTCAAGGTCGTGTAAGAACCTCGTAATCCGGTAACGATAATCATCGCCGCGCAGACTGGTCCTTTACTAAGCAGTCACCTTCAGTACGCAGCCAATTTCAAGTATTCCCCTTGAGCGCTTATTCCAATAATTCGGGGACATTCTACAATTCATAGATCCGAATTGAGTGTAATTTAACTGTCAAAATGCAGAGTGGCACATTAAAAGTGCATGATAATGTAGTATTTTCTTTTTACAACTATTGCATCTTAAAACAAGTGGACGAAATACGGTGGTTCGTATAGGGAACAATTAGGTTTTTAAGTACCGGTATCGAAAGTGACAAAATTTGAGAGACCCAGATATCCGAGATTTTACTCGGTATTTGACAAAAAAGTCCACGGATAAATGTATATCGAACCCTTCTAAGATGTACAGCTTTTATTTAGCTTACTGAAACTTTTACCTTTAATCCAGTCCTGAGATCAATAGCTAACTGTTTACCAGTGCGGAATTTTAACTTTTCTTCTTTGTTTTGCCATATAAACATTATGTAGTGGCACTATAACTCATTTACGTGAACTAAGTCACCATTGAATTACCAGTGGGTAATCAACTATCCAGAATTATTATTGGTTAATGTACATATAAGTCAGAGACTCTTTGAAGGGATTGGACGACGTTTGTTGTTGTTTACAACATTTAAATCCTGCAGAAAATTTTAGTATTGCAAAGCATAGTTTTGTATAATATGCAATTACATATCGTCCATTGCATAGCTTGGGTGAGCACGGTCTGTACTGAAGAATGCTTCTGTTTAATGGTCACTACGTCTGAGCAACTCCGCTAGACCCTCTCTTTAACTTGCTCGCATGCACTAAAAAAATATTTGCATGTCGTCAACGTGTACTGACTGACTTATTTTTTCAAAATAAAGTTCCACTCTTGTGAAATTGAAAAGATAAGATACAAATGTACATATAACATGATATTCCCTTTGTGAACGACTTCATTTATTCTTTATAAAAACATATTGAATTTAAATACCTTACAATAGCCATTTGAATGGCACCTGTGAATTTTTAAAGTATATTTATTATTAAGCTCTTAAAGAAATAAAATATTTTCTTTTAAAGAATGATCATAATTTAAATTTGAAAATGGAGAATACAGAACAGAAACTGTGTTAGCAATCCAGTCCTGTTATGGAGAGATTACGTACATTTTCTGATAGAACTGCCGGTTCATTTCACAGTAACCGCATCGTTAAATGTTTGTTACCATAAATGGTTTGGAGTTTTCGGTTTTATCCTTCTTTCAAACTGTAAACTTGGGCTCTATCATTGTTAACTTGTTTCTGTCATTGATTCCACTGCTTACTAGGACTCAATCATTGTTAATATGTTCCCATCATTGATGCAACTGTTAACTTTGATTCTACTAATTTTTCCTCTATTGTTAACTTCGGCTTTATAATTGTTAATGGGCTTGTTGGGCTTTATCATTGTAAACCTTGGTTCTGTCTAGTGTTTGATAAATCGTCCTTGTATATTCGACGTTAACGCCATCATACCCATGGCTGTATATGAATAAAAAAAAAAACTACATAGTTCCAGTTAAGAATAAACTTGAGGCTTCGTTGTACTCTTCATTTGAAACAGAGTGATTCTTCTGATGTGACTACTGGTTCATTATTCATTATAAACTTATCTTCACTAGAAAATTCTTTATTAATTTCATCACACATAGTTGACCCTGTGTTTTATCATGATTGAGTGTTTCGTAGCGTAAAGATGACTTTGAAAACGTTATCGTTGGATTGCAATATTTGCATTTGTAAAGATAGTGTACACCTGGCGGTTTAAGAAAATTGTGTAAAGAACCGTGAAATCTTTCACAAGACGTCGTGAACAGGTGGAACGAAAACTAATCAAATATGCACACACTTCTTTCCTTAACTGCAAGTGTTGAAGCAAGTCTTTATCACCTTCTTGCTAACACTTGTTTATCAAAGGACTAACTTCAAACAAAGTTATTTTAATATTTTTTATGATAACTTTAATAAAATATAAGGGTATATGTACATAGCTTTTTTCACTTCAGGTCTTAAAATTTAGAGTTAAAGTTACTAGTGATGAACGGAAAAGACAACCAAACACCGATTTTATAAATAAATAATTGTATTGTTTTCTGTTTAGCAATGACCAGGGCAGCGTTCTGTCCATAAAATGATTCAGATGCATTAGAGAATTATTTGGTTATTGGAGGTAAGATGATGGTATGGGCTGAGGTCCGTTCACACTCTGTCTTCAACATAGTAATTTTATCCTCAAAAACATCAGAATAACGATGTGGGGCATCAAGCTCGATCCCTGGTGGGCAAGACGCCATAATTTGGAATATATCTTTGTTTTTTATCATGAACACTTATCTGTTTGTCTATTTTGTTTTGCCAATTCGTATGTTGTATTTTGCATAGCGTGCTTACTCTATTCGAATCACCTAGTGGTACTTCTCATTTGAAGAGTCCACTGCTAAACAGTTATTGCTCTCGATTTCGTCATGTTTAGATGAGAATTTTGGTTATCGGATAAGTTTTCCTTATACAGATTTTTATCACTGGACTTTGATTTTACATTATTGGATTAATTCTGTGTTTATATTATTGATTTAATTTGGACTGTAAGTGTTAATTTTTCACTAAAACCGTGTTCTGACATTGACTA